CACTTCTTCTGCTGGGAATGGCCAAGTTTTTATGGCTCTTAGGTCAGGTTTGCCCTTGTTCCTTCCTGGTTCGCCTTTCAGGAGTGTGGATTTCATGGAATCCTGGAATGGCCTGGGTTTGAAGGGACCTGAAAGTTCATCCAGTCCCGCCCCCTGCCATGGGCAGGGACACCTTCCATCAGCCCAGGCTGCTCCAAGGCCCATCCAACCTGGCCTTGGACACTTCCAGGGATGGGGCATCCACAGCTTCTCTGGGCAACCTGTGCCAGGCCCTCCCCACCCTCACAGGGGGGAATTCTTTCCCAATATCCCATCTAACCCTGCCCTCTGTCAGTGGGAAGACATTCCCTCTTAACCTGTCACTATGTACCCTTGCAGAAAGTCCCTCTTGCAGTGGTTCTGTAGCTTTGACCTGCCTTGGAGATCAGCCCCTGCATCAGGACTGATGCTCAGGTGATAAGTGGGACCACTGATATCTCAGATATTGTTTAGCTGAAGCTTTGTTTTTTTAAAGTCTCCAGTGGAGGTTTTAGTGGAGCCCCTTCATTTTATACATGGAAATGTAAATTCTTTCCCCATGGAAGATAAACACTGTTATCTCAGGAATTCCCATCTGCTGTTTCCAGATGTGGCCTGAAAATGTGAAGGAGCTGCAAAATGACCAAGTGAGGGGACCAGTTTTAAACCCATGGGGTGGGAGCTGTTCTGCCCACCCTGCTCAGGGCTGAGCCAGGCCTTGAGCTGCAGCAGAGCATGGCATGCTGGGCTGGGCTTTGGGCTGGGCCAGAAGGAAGGGAAAATAAAAAGAATTATACCATAGAATACTGAGAGGCTGACTGGGGGCACATGCAATACATTTTTAAAATATCACAGCAGTCTAAGTTATTGTAATTAACATGTCTAGAATAAAATAAAGAGAATCTTTCCTCTGTAAAACCCAATGGTTTTTATTTGGAGTGAGTTAAGGCAACTGTTCTGGCCATGCCATCCCCAGGCAAGAAATGGCACCAGGTTTGATGTTCCATATCATATTTCATGTCAGCACTTGCTGTCTTGAAAAGAAGATTTGCTTGCAGAAAGCAGAGTTTGGTTCCAGAGGACAGTTTCTCGATGTGGTGGTAGCACAGAGTGCAGAGCCAGCTCTGCTCAGGGGCCTGGCTGTCTCTGAGGAACCTGCTGTTCACGTGCTCCGAGCCTGCCCTGCCCTTTGGTACCTTCCAAGAGCTGTGGCAGGGATGCTGTTTGCCTCAAGGGTGAGCTTGGGGAGCTGGTTTGGCTGAAAAGCAGCTGTTTCTGTCACATTATTCCAGTTATTATATCCCAGCTGAACCAGTGGTTGTATCCATGCAGGAGAGGAACAGTGAAGACAGAAGGAGCGGCTCGTGGAGCTCTGCACAGTGGGCAGGACTGTGTGAAAAGCAGTTTAAAAGTGCTGGTTTTAAGGAATTCAGTAGTTTTATCCTCTTTATTCATTAATGGGGTGATTATAAGCATAACAGAAGGATTGTTCACTCTTGTTTTTGCAGTCAGCCTTTTAAAATGTGCTGCTGACTTTTACTTAAGACCCTGGTACCAGTTGATTCATGTCAAGGTTCTGGTGTTGGAGCAGAGAAGCTTCAGTTCTCAGAAACCTCCTTTCCCAGGGGCCCAGCTCTGTTCTGCTGCAGTGGATCACGGCCAGCCTGGCAGATATTTTGGATGTAGGCAGCTGAGGGCCCGGGTGCTGCTGCTGTGGTAGTTTGGGATGTGTGCCCGGTCCGGCATTCCCAGACTGCTGCTCGTGCTGTGCTCTGTCCCATCTGCCAACACCACCTCTGGGAACGCCACCTCTGTCACCAGAGGTGTTGGAGGCTCTGGGCTGGCCAGGTCCTGGTTTTCCTGTGGATCCTGCCCTCCAGAGGCACAGGGACAGCTGATGACCGTCCCGGTCCCGGCATGCTGGGGCCCGGGAGGGGCTGGGGCAGGGCATGCTTTCCCCATTAGTAATGGCTTGGAGGGACCTCATTTTGCAACCCAGAATTAACTGTTTGGGCTTTGTGGAGCTCAGCTCTGGGAATGTAAACAGCCCTGGCTGGAGGCTGGGCTTCAGAGGCTCAGCTTGGGTTGGGCTGGGCTGTGCTCAGGGTGTCTCCTGGGGGAAGCTCCAGTGGAGGGTCTCCAGGCTGGTGGTCAGAAACCAGTGCTGCTGGGCTCGGGAGAGCCCTTGGGAACACTCTGCTGCTCAGTCTTGCAGTTCTCAGTTCTTGGTTCTAGAAGGATTTCTTCATCGCTTCCATTAGATAAGATGCAAGTAAGCCCTATCGGGGGCTGAGGACAGAAGTTTGGTGGTGAAATTGTTTTTTTTCTAGAAGTCTGCTGATTCCCTGGTTAACCAGCAGAAGTAATTAGCATCCCACAAAGCTGCAGTTGGGTGTAAACTTTAAACTGGTCTTACCTGTAATTCCGAGGGTGGCAGATCCCTTTGATGGTTTGCTGCTTCCCCTGCCCAGAGAGGAGATGGGCCGTGCTGCTATCACAGGGTTGCATTTTCTCCTTCATGGTTGTGATCACTGAAAAACAATATTATTTAGTGGCTCTCTCTTGGCTTCCTCATTAAAGGTGGAATGTGGGCCTGCAGGAAGGGTGAGGTCTTCCCTCGCTGCACTTCCGAGCCTGACATCATCATCAGTGGCTGTTCTGATCCGCCCGGGCTGGCCACGCTCCTGCTGCCACCCAGGGCTGGGAGAGCATCCCTGATTCCAAGGGCATCCAGCTTGTCCAGCTGGGATTTTAGAGCCTTGACAAACCGGTTCAGTGTACAAACAGTGCTAAAGAGAAATATATAAAATCATTTTGCACTTCACATAACGATCCATAGTCTGTGGGTAGCCAGATTTAAAATGGGAACAAAGTTTTGCTAGCACAGTGCTGTGAGCTGTCATTGCTTTTCATTCCAGTGGACATAATTTCCTAGGAAAAAGGGAGGGAAGGAGAAATCTATTCATGATTCTAAAGTTGTATGGAAGCTCTGTTCTGTGTGATGGGTTTTTCATTAATACTGCAGCTAAAACCATTCTGTAACTTTACAGTAGTCTAATGAAAGGTTCTGTACAAAACGCGTTGTGTGATTCCCACGAGTGAATTTCCAAAATCTTGTAGTCATTTACCCACTGTTGCAGGATGGGAGGAGTCCCTGGAGCTGTCAGTGAAGGGCTGTTGCTGTGGCATCAGCAGCTCTGTGGGTTAAGGATGTGCACGTACCCAGCTCTGAGGGCTCGGGAGCTTCTTAGAAGTTGTTTTGAATTGCACCACCCAGAGTGGCTGTTTAATTTCCCAAACTGCTGGTTGGGTTCAGGCTGGGCCTTCTCATCTGTCAGATCTTGGCTCTGTGGTGCCTGTTCTGGAGCACGTCAGGGTAAGTGTGTCAGCACCGGGGGGAACGACCTCCTGGGACGCCTCTAATCTGCCTTTCCCTGGCTGGGACAGGGCAGAGGGAGCTTCAGCTGTGCAGTGGGGATGGACAAACCTGTTGCTTTCTTTTCCTAAACAGATCTCTAGGCAAAAGAAGGAAACTGAGGCCTGGACATGGGAGATTCACAGAATGGTTTGGGTTGGAAGGGACCTAAAGCTCATCTTGTTCCACCCCCTGCCATGGGCAGGGACACCTTCCACTAGACCAGGTCACTCCAAACCCGGTCCAACCTGGCCTTCCAACCCAAACCATTCCATGATTCTCCTATCACACCAGTTAGCTGACATGTGCAGTAGTTGCCACTTAAGGTGAGATCAAAATCTGTTTAAGAATGTGCTGCTGTAACTGGGCTGTCCTTACAGCCTAGTGCTGCCATGTAATTTCTGATTCATTTTTCAGGGCTAAAAAAATAAAAATAAATAATTACTCTCTAACAGGATGTAATTTTCATCAGACAAAATACTTCTATTTGGGTGAGAGAAAAGTTTATCAGTCTGGTCTGTGTTTTCCTCGACAATTAAATATTCAAGTGCTGTCAGAGTATTTCAGGGGCTTTTGTCTGAGTCTGGTTGCTGTTTTGAGCATTACTTTATTCTGGTATTTAATTATTAAACACCTTATGGTTCACAACTAGTTCAAGCAGATAATGTGCCATGAAACTGAAGCCAAACACCTTAAAAACACGAACCCCAACCTGAAGGAATCTTGTCCTTGGAGGTATTTGGAATGTTCAGCTGATGGAGCCCGATCAGGAAAATGAGCTTTCCGTTTGAGCCCAGGCTTGCAGTGGCTTCTTAAACAGATTGAGCATCAGATAAAGTCTGTAGGAGCTGAGAGTGTGACAGCAGGGAGGGGAAACTCTGGACAGGGAGTCCCAGAGTCCCTGTGAGTGGTGTAAAGGTGCAGGAACGGTGAGTGGAAGAGATCAGGGACAGCTGGATCTGTCATTGTGGGATCGAGCACTGTTATAGCCAGTGAGCCAGCAACAAATGAATCTGTGTTCACATTAAACAATTCAAAGTTTATGTGTAAACTGGGATCAGAAGAAGGTGTGGAACTGTGTGTGTAAAGGTTGGAGTATGTTTGTAGCAAGTGACAGTGTTTTGTCTGGAAGTGTAAGTATTCAGCATTTTTCTATCTAGGCCTTTTCTGGGAATACCATTAGCTTCTGATGAGCTTTTTAAGTACCAAATCTTCTCTATTGTTTTAGTATTATGGATACGTGGAGTGAAACTCCAGCTGCCTCAGTACACCTGTGACTCAGGGTTCTGGTGTGCTCTGGGTTAATCCGTGTGCAGCTGGAAGTACCACGCAGAGCTTGGTGCAGAGGATTTGTGCTGCAGGCTGTGGATTCCAGGAATTTCAGGGTTTCCCAGACTCCCTGTGCTTGGAACAAGGGCTATGTGTGACATGGTGAACATGGGGGTGTTTCCAGCAGTGATTGTAATGGGATTGTAACTTGGAACTGAGCAGGTTTTCTTGCAACTGGTGAGGCAGTCTTTGACCCTGAACTTGCCATTGTCTGACAATGTCTTTTTTCCTCCCCTAGGGCTGAGAAAACGGAGGTGCTCAGTGAAGACCTGCTGCAGGTATTGTAACACACTTACTGTGTATTTTTAAGTGTTCCTTGTGAAGTTTGAGCCTTCTGAGAATTGTGGAGTACCTAATGTGGGGATAAAATACTGCAGGTCAGGGGTAGAAACCTGGATGTCTTTGAGTTCTCAGCACATGAGAAAACTGGGGATACATTTTGAGTAAAAAAACCTCAGTACTTCTGTTTCTGAACCCAATCGTGTGGCTCGACACAGTGAAGGAGGAGACATTTTCTTTTAATTAGATGAATGAGTTTAATAAGCTCATGAACCACTCATGCTGATGACTTGCCAGTCTGTGGTGGAGGGTGAAGAAACTCTGGGCACAACAAGTGTCTGTCCTCACTTCTGTTTCTCTTGAACAGGTCAACTGGGCCTCAAGAGAAGAGGCAAAAAAAACCCATGCCAACTGCTTGCTAGTAGAGAATGGCAGTTTATTTTCTTAAAGTCTGTTATTGCTTATTGTCATAAGTGTACAAATCCTTCTTGTTTAGCTTCTGATGATAAATAAATGTATAAATGCTTCTTATTTAGCTTGTGATGTTTGTTCTCAAATTTGTCATGCTGACAGTTGATTTGTTTGCAGACTTGTCATCTTTGTGAAAGGATATCATTTCATCAAACATGACTTCCACGGTGGAATTTTAGTTGCAACTGTCAGATTAACAAGGGTGACTGATTACATGGAGCAAATTTAAATACAGCCTTGTCCTACATAGTTTTCTTCCTCTGGTTCCTTTATGAAAGGCTTGTAAAGACAACACAAGTCGGTGAGGGCAGGCTGCTCTCGGTTGCTGCTGGCTCCTCCAGTGGGCTGCTTATTGCTAAGGAATTACAAAGCACCTCAGTGTGCCTGCAGTCAGGACCTGTACATGGAGCAGGGAAGCCAAAGAGATGATGCAAGTGCTTCTAGTTCAGATCTCTCCAGCTGCTCAGGTTCAGGGAGAAGATGAGGGAGCACATCAGCCTTCCAGCTTGAGTCAGGCACATGAAATCACAGAATCAGAGTCACAGAGTGGGTGGGTTGGAGGGGACTTCAAAGCTCATCCAGTGCCACCCCCTGCCATGGGCAGGGACACCTTCCACCATCCCAGGTTGCTCCAAGCCCCGTCCAGCCTGGCCTTGGACACTTACAGGGATGGGGCAGCCACAGCTTCTCTGGGCACCCTGTGCCAGTGTAGTGGTGAAATGAGCTGACCTGAAACATTTCACCCCGTTTTTAGGGGACTGCTTTGTTTAAACTATAAATACCTGAGCAGTTTGACAATACTATTCTTCTTTTCTGAGCAGATGTACAATTAAATGACATAAAGGATGTTTAACACCTTGATAGCCTGCAAGGGCCCATCTGTTTTCTTGCTTAGCTGCAGAATAGTAACAAGAAGTGAAAGCCAAAAGCTCTGCTGCTTGTTGCCAAAAAAATTTTGCAAGCAAGGCTTTCCCAGGCCCTGAGCAGCCTGGCTACACCCAAGTGGAAGAATTTACTCACTTGTTTGTTTGCTCTTGGGGGCTTGTGGAGGGGCAGGAGGCTCTTATCTAACCCAAGAGTTTGGAAACGTGGTGCTGCTCTCTTGATAAACACGGTTCACAGTTGGGCTCTTTTTATATTTAGCTCAAGCTTTGCCTCAGGATTGTCATGGCTTTTTTTTGTTCTGTTTTCTGAAGGGTTGTGCTCCATTTCAAGTGTCTGTTAAATGTGTTCCTGTCTGAAGACAAGGGATATAATTCAGTACTGAAAGGGATTGTACAATAGCCCCACTTTCTGGCATGGCTTTGTAGCAGATAATAAAGCAATTGTGTGATGTTCTGCACTCTGCAGATGCCCTGAGGGGACAGACAGCTTGGCCTGTGGGTCACATTGTCAGTTCAAAGGTGGCTTGAAGGAGATTAATGTCTTTTATGGTTTTCCTGACATCTTTGAACTGAAAAGCAGATCAGAGAGGAGAGTGTATTATCGTGAAGTTCTGGGGTCACGTTCCTCCTATCAGTCATCTGCCCTTTGAGTCTGGCATTCAGGGTGCCTAGGAAGAGGCTGTTGGGAATGTGTGTGCTCCAGAGTCTTTCTGAGGAACATGAGCCCCCATCCAGGGCTGCCCAGGGCTGCTGGGATCCCCGAGGTGCTTCAGGCACAGGGTGTCACCATGTGTCGGGTGTGGAAAAACCCTGTGCTCAGTATTCTAAGAATTCTTAAAAAAATTTAATTCTTCCATAACTAATGGAATGTTTAGAATGTGTTGGGGGTATTTTTTCCCTGTGAGGGTGGGCAGGCCCTGGCACAGGTTGCCCAGAGAAGCCGTGGCTGCCCCTGGATCCCTGGAAGTGTCCCAGGCCAGGTTGGACGGGGCTTGGAGCACTCTGGGCTGGTGGAAGGTGTCCCTGCCCATGGCAGGGGGTGGCACTGGATGGTGTTTGAGGTCCCTTCTCTAACCCAAACCATTCTGGGACTCAGGAATTTCATTTTGAAGATAACACAACAGTACACCACGAACAGTATCTCCATATGGACTGGTTTTTAACTGGACTTAATTTTGAAATTGTTGCTCCATGCTCTGTAAATAAAAGACGAAGCCTTGTGCTTTCAGAGCAGTCCCTGAGCAGTTTCTCTGTACTTTATTTTACTCTTAATAGATTTTTACTGAGCTTTTTGAGCACTTCAACTTAAATTCATCTTTCTTCTTGAAAATATAACTGAAGTGATTTTAGAGCTGCGTCAAAAACTGGAATCTGTTCAGATTAGTTCTAGAGATGAAATGTACTTCTTTTTCCTTGCTTTTTAAATAGAATCCATTCCAAAAGGCCTCCTGTTATTCTTGGTGAGTCATCAAAATGCAGATAAACAGCATTCTTTGGGTGCTGTGCACAGAGGCTCGGTGCCACGAGCAGTTCTGTCCCACTGCTCATCACTTTGTTTGCTTTTGATGTTCTTTGAAATAAAATAGTCCAAATTCTTTACTTAAAATCCCTTAAAAGAACAGTTTACCATATCTATATTTGTCATATTCACTGGCTGTATATTAAGCCGTGATTGAATTGTATGGTGATAAATAGAACTCTTGTTTGTGCTTTGACACTTATTTTTTTAATTACATATCCCTTTTGAATCCCATGAATCTCTCCCTGAAAATACTGTATTGCTCATCCTGTAGGAGCTTTGTCCTTGCGTTTAACAGGCAGGGAAGGACGTGCAGGAGGAAGCCTAGAGTACAGTACACATTGTGAATGAGCTGTCAGACATGTCTTCAGCACCTCCTCTACAAGGTCACAGTGAAAAACAGAGTTTTCCCCCCAAATTAGTGTCTTAGATACCTGTGTGTGCCATTCATCTCAGATGGCAAGTGTCAACCTGATTCCTTTGGCTGAGATGACAAGTAGGGGCCGTGTTTTCTCCGTGCTGTGAGCTGACTGAATCGCTGTGCCACTGAGGAAAAAACCAATTTAAATCTCTGTCCAAGCATTTTTGCTGTCGGGCACTTCTGCTAAGCAGCTGAATTGTAAGCTGGAGAATTTGAGAAAAATGCAACCCGGAGCAGAGTGTGGTGCAGGGGGAAGGTTTTTCTGCTGAGGCCAGGGAAATAACTTCTGTTTTTTGTTTGGTTTTCTCTTCCTCCCGGGCCCCTCAGATCGAGAGGCGTCTGGATGCCGTGCGCTCCGTGTGCCACCTCGCCCAGAAGCGCCTGATCGCGTGTCTGCAGGGCCAGCATGGCACAGACCCCGACAAGAGACACGTAAGTGCCACTGCCTTCCCAGGCTGGGCTCAGCCAGGGCTGGCCCTGAGCTCCAGCAGGGCTGCTCTGCCCCTCCTGAGCCAGGGGAAGGCAAACTGTGCACAGTCAGCCCAGGGGGCACACTGATGAAACACCAGCTGCAATCCCCAGCCCAGCAAACAGCACAACCCTGCAGTGCCACGGCAGTGCCAGGCACTCACTGATCTCTGCAGCTCTGATCAAACTCCTCGTGTTTAGGATTGATTGCCTTTGGGGCACTGACACCTCCAGTTGGCTGTAAATGTTTTTCTGGACACATTTGGTTTCTACCTCTCTTTAGTGAAGCCATAGGTAGTTTTAGAACCAGAAATAATTAACATTCAAGTTTTCTCCTTCTGCTGAGTAACACACACCTGAAAGCAGGGGCACACAGAATCTCTGGGAGGGAGAGGTGACAAGCTGGTTCCTTAAATCTCAAGTTAAAGCTGTTTATCTCTCTTTGGCAGTAGCTGAGATAAGTTTTGGGCCAGTCATTCCAGCTAAGACTGCAAAGAAAGTATTTTTCAGAGTATCTGAGAACAGGAGTCTTGAGGCTTGAAACTTTCTGTGACTTGGCATTTTCTTCCAAGTCCAAGAATGAGCTGCGTGTGTGTGGAATTGAAACCATATGGAAGAGGAGGAAAGCTTAGAGGGAATGTACTGGGAAAGCTGGAAAGAGTGACTAGCACTAAGCTAAGCACTGTTCCTTCTGTTCCATAGAAAAAACTTCCTCTAACAGCTCTGGCTCAAAATATGCAAGAAGGATCTGTCCAACTGAGTGATGAAACTCTGCTGGGGTGAGTGTTTACCCTTCTTTGACTTGCAGTCTGACATTTTATTGCCTGCAGGGCTCTAATTAGAGACTCTGGGTGCACAAAGCCTGGTTTCAATGTAATGAAATTTAATATTCCCAGATTCCTGCTCTAATCCAAAGGGAGAAACAGTGAGCAAGCAGTTTTTCTGGAATGATTTGGGGGGACAAGTTTTAGGCTGAATTGCATTCCAGAGGATTCTGATTCTCTGCTATCATAAAAGCTTTTGAGAATGGCTTTTATCCTGGTGGATTAGCAGAATTATTATCTCAAATTGAAGTTTAAAATGTGGTGTATTCTACAATGAAACTGCATTTTTATTATACTATGAACTGCATTCTGCAGGTTTGATTTAGTGACTTAAAACAACGCCAATTTGCATTAATGCTTCTGGTTTAAAATAATCCCAATTTAACTATCCCAGCAAAGTGATTATTTGCAATTGACAGGAAAGTGGCTGAAACAAATGAGCATCCCATAGCCTGAATTCCTAGAGCAAGTGGGTTTCCTCATTGCTGATGGGAATTCTGAAGGAGACAGTGTAGAATGGCCTTAAAAACCTTTGTGTACATATTTGTGAGCCACTGCAGGACACTGAAATGTGGACAAAACCCCTAGGGAATAGGGCTTCTCCTTAGAACAATCCTAAAATAAAGTTCACGTTGTGGGTTTGGAGCCTGAGCCTGTTGCATATGGGATTGCTTGGCATTAGGGTGTTAAAAGGGCTTAGGATAAATGAAATACTGCACTGAGCAATTTTCCTGCATCTGGGGAGATGGAAGGATGGGCTTGGAAATAAATACTGACTTCTGTGCCTTTAGGGCTGGTATAATCACCTGGATGTCTTAAAGCCTCCAAAATGTTGTCACGGCTCAGGAATTTTAGAAGACACAGGTTTGATCACACCCCTTGCCTATCCCAGATTTGTCCAGGACAGCACAGAGCATTTGGGTTTATGCCACTGAGTGATGCTTTGCTCTGTACAGCACAAAACTTCCCAAAAGGGCCACCACTGCTCTGGTCTGAGGCTTTCTTCTTCAGCCAATAGTAACTCACTTGACCATTTCCTGCAATTCTTAAAGGAAAATGCTGGATACCTGTGGGGATGCAGAGAATAAACTGGCAATGGAGCTCTCTCAGCATGAAGTGCAGATCGAAAGAGAAGTTCTAGATCCACTGTGCCTGTTAACAGAGGTGAGTCACCTCAGCCTGACTGAAGGAATACATCTGGATTTGTGGATAAACTGGCCAAAAGGGGTTTCTCTCATTGCTGAGAATAAAAGTGGTTTAAGGAGCCCTGTGTGGTGGAAAGTGGATGTGAGGGCTACAACGTGGACTTTATTGCAATGCACAATTTACACATCAATGTGAGCCTCAAATTCTCATTTTAGACAGAGATCCCAAACATTCAGAAGCAGAGGAAGCAGCTTGCAAAGCTGGTGCTGGACTGGGATTCCGCAAGGGGAAGGTAAGAAAGAGTTTTAACTACTGGGTGCTTTTCTAGTCATGTGAACTTCTTGTTGGCATCTCCTGGCATCTGATCTGGTACTTGCTTTTGAAATGCTGTTGTGTGCAGGTAATGCTTAGGTGAAAAGAGACAAACTTACGTTAAAGTTGCACCAGAAAAGAACCCATGACTACTAGATCCAAACACAGTCAAGATCTTGGAGCCCTTATATGCCTGTATAATTGGAAAAATGTTGGACATTCGTTTTCATTCCGGTTCACTTAAGTGTTCCACTTTTCCTCCACAGATACAACCAAGCCCACAAGACTTCAGGAACAAATTTCCAAGTGCATCCTTCGAAAATAGAATCTCTTAAGGAAGAGATGGATGAAGCTGGAAATAAAGTAGAGCAGTGCAAGGTATGGACAGGATGAGTGTCCTTCCCACATCTCCCATTAGCAAGAGCAGAAATCAGAGCTGCTGCTTCAGCCTGAAACTGCCTGGCTGCTGCAGCTGCAAATCATGTGACTGTTAAACTGTTTGTCTGAAGGGTATTTTAGTGCCAGCTGATCTCTGAATTGCTTTAATTTAATGAGGAACTCCGGGGTTTTTTTTAAGTGGGGTATTTTACATTGTTTTCTGTTTCAGTCTGAGTTCTGAGAAGGAACTGTGTCCCAGCCTTGACTGAATGTCAGGGTGCTGGGTGCTCCAAGCCACGGAGCAACCATGCAGTGGGAGCTTCCTGGATGAAATTCAAGCTGTGCCATCCAGGGAACACTGTGACTGTTACAGCTCTGAGCAGCTCACATTCACTTTCACTTCTCAGTTGGCAGATACTTCATGACGCTGCAGCCGAGCTGAGGAGCAAAACCGCCTGTCTTAGTAGTGCTTGTCTTTGAGTGCTATAAATGTAAAAATGCCAGTCAGTCCAGTTGTTGACTGAAGTGGGCAACTGCCTCGCTGTATAAAAAACAGTTAAACATTTTGAATTAATTTTGCTTGAGGAATACACGTAGCAGAGCAGGTGAATTACTGCTTCCTGGAGTGCTTGAACTGACAGTTCAAACTTACTGCAGGCAAAATAAGCGCAGGGCAATCTGTCTTTCTGTGTAATTTGAAATGCCCCTGTAAATTTGATGTACTGTTTTGCATTCTTTTCTTTCCCAAAGGATCAGCTTGCAGCAGACATGTATAGCTTTGTGTCCAAAGAAGGGGAATATGCCCGATGTTTTGTTATGGTGAGTATTTTCAGTATGACTCTGACTCAGCACGTCTGTGCACAGACCCTCAGTTCTCAAAGATGACATTTTTAGTGCTAAACCTAGTCTTGTCTTATGTGCTCATCAGAAGCTAACGCTCTTTTTGTTTTTAAAATGTGGCTTCTGTTCTCAGTTATTAGAAGCACAAGCAGATTACCATAGAAAAGCATTAGCAGTCATAGAAAAGGTCCTCCCCGAAATTCAAGCCCATCAAGGTAAAGTAACCTGTGCTCTGGCTGATGCTTCTCCTTGCCTGTGCCACCTATGCACAATATTCTCCTCCTTTATCTTGATTCTCTTGCATGCACACTGATTTAATAAGGCCATTTTGATCTACTTAACAATTTTACATTCCCAAGCATAATTCCATCTTCGTGTTCTCTGGAGTTCTCCAGCCATATTTAACACACTAATAAAATATTAAGGATCTCTCTGATACCTCTGATAGGAGGGTAAAGGAAGGATTTTTCTACTTGCTTACACTTCTTCCTTGTTATCATGTGCCCTTTTGCTGATTCATACCTGCCCTTTTAAGCCAATGGAAGTGTCATTGTGATTTAGGAACATATTAGGGGTCCTTGGTTCTTGAATGATTGCTAGGTGATCATCAGGAAAACTCCATGTATTTTAAGAAGCTTGATTTTTTTTACCCCCCCCCTTATTTTGTGCAATCCTCTTTCCTGGCATGCACTTCATGCTGGAAAATGGAGAGTTTGGGTTCTTGTGCTGATTATCAGCAGTTTAAAAAAGGGTGTTATACAGCTTCACTTCTTCCCTGAGAAGAAATGGAACTGCTGCCAAGCTTCCCACTGTCAGTGGGAGCTTAAGGTGTGTCCCTGAGGATTTGGGATGAGGGTGCACCGTGTGTTTTGTAAACTGCTCTCCTAAAAACTGGGTCTGCTGGCCCTGAATTTTTTAAATGCCTTGGAGAAACAGGTGAACAAAGTCTGAGAAAAGCACAGTCTGATCCGAGCAAGGCTCAGGTATCTTCAGTTGTGGGTCACAGGCAAGTTGTAAAAGCTGAACCATTTAAATGCATAAACGGGAGCATCGTGTTTGGTGGGGGTACAGAATATCTGTACCCTGTCCGTTTGGGAGAGGAGGGAATGCAAGCAGGTGATGTCTGTGCTGCAGAAGGGCTGTGCAGGAGGCTCTTTATCACTGCTTCAGTTTGTTGTTGTTGTTGTCGTATGAAAAGTTTGTACAAAGCAGCTGAGGAGAAAGTGCTTCAGAACAGATTGGCCTCCCTAGAAGGTGGGCTGGGAGCCATGGTGGGTAAGTGCTCCTGCAGTCCAGTGTAGGAAATTACCTCAGTTGTGGTTTTGTCTTTCTTGGCCTTTTTTTCCACATAAAAGAAATAACACATATATACTAACAATAACCTTTTACATCTGCATTTTTTCAGTTAAAACGGTAGAAATGGGTGAAAAAGTAAATTGTAGGAAAGAAGAAATTCGTGTTCAGTTTGGAGAAACTTATGCCGATTTGAGTTAAACAACAAGTGAGGAATTTGTGCACTACAGTGCTGGGCTGTCACCAGGGTAGTTCTGATGTGAGACACTGGGGCTGTTAATGTTCACTATAAGTTGCTGATTTCAAGAATCACATTTCAGGAATAAACTCTGTACTAACAGCTCAGTTTTTATTCACTGTATATGCAGTTAAAATGAAAATCAGCCCAGGTCATGCAACCTGGACAAAATTTTCCTCAGATTCTTGCAGACTGAAGCCAAATCAGTGCAACTGGAACATGCAGCTGTGTGCTGGCACTTGTGTTGAGGTTTATTTATAATTCCAGTTACACACAGGATTTGTATGTGATATTCCACCCAGAAAGATGCAGAAGTATTTTTTTCCTGACCACCAGCAGCTTCATTTTCTCTTTCCTCATGATGCAAGGGACTTTACCAATCAAGGGCTGTAAAACTCCTGCTGTAGTCTGAACCTTTCTGTGCTGTACTAGAGGCTTTCTTCTCTTCTTGCCTGGGCTGTAATTCAGGGGTTTGCTAGATATCCTGCTCAGTGTTTTGATACTCTCCAACCAGACAAATGGACTGAAAAACCAGCTTTTGGAACTCCGTTAGAAGAGCACCTCAAGCGCAGCGGGCGGGAAATCGCAGTCCCTATTGAAGCCTGTGTGATGATGCTTCTGGAAACGGGGATGAGAGAGGAGGTGGGTAATTCCAGGTCACATGCCACGAAGGATGGGAAAAAGAGTCCAGTCGAGCTGCTGGACTGGTGTCTGTGCTTGTTAATACGTAGCTGAAGTAATTTTTTCATCCATGTAAATGATAAATGTTTTGCAACGGAATAACTTTGAGCACTGGTTGAAGTATCTTTGAGATGAATTCACAAAGAATGAAAATCAGGGATGGGCCAAGGGTGAGAGGGAACTAAAACATACTCAGGTGACAGTGACATGACACATTAAGGCTGTAACACTGTCAGGTGAAGACACCAAACCCAAAAAGTTCTGAAAGAGACTGTTACGGAACTTCTGCTGTTCTGTGCTTGTACCAGTGTGTTGTTACAGTCAGTTCATTTTATTTTTATGATGCAGGGCTTATTCAGAATTGCTGCTGGAGCCTCCAAGTTAAAGAAGCTGAAAGCTGCCCTGGACTGTTCCACTTCCCAGCTGGATGAGTTTTACTCTGACCCCCATGCTGTTGCAGGTGTGGTGAATGTTCCGGGCCAAAACCAGCTGGAAATTGATACAACACAACTTTGTGCTGTTAATTTAACTGCTGACCTGCTCCAGTGTGAGATGTCAGTCTGTGCAGATAAAATAGGAGGGGAAATACATCGAAAGTTCCCTTCATTGCACAGTTTGACACAGATAAATGTGGGGTGCCCTTGCTTGTCACACCTGGTGTATTCCCATCCGTGTGACAGCAGTGTGTAAAATTCAGGTGATCAGCATAATCCAAGTGTCACATTTCCTCTCGTGACAAGAGTGTTCATGTGATCAAGGGAGATTGGAGCTGTGTGTACACCTTTGAAAAGGGCTTCAAAAGTTCTTTGCTCTGAAGAGATGATTCCGAGTTTCAGAGCATGTTTCTGTTCAGTTACAGTTATTACTGACAGACCTTTGGTGTTAAGGTTTGAGCAGTTACACTGTGGAAGTGCCAGGCCTTCCCACTGTTGCCCTGGTACTTGGGACCTATTGCATAGATAAAGCTGCAGACCTGAGGACAGAATGTGAACTGAGGTGTGAAAGCAGTGGCTGAGGAGCCAACCTGTTCCTGTCTGCATTGCAGGGGCCTTGAAATCCTATTTGCGGGAGCTGCCAGAGCCTCTGATGACCTACAGCTTGTACGAGGAATGGACACAGGCTGCAAGGTGAGCATGCTAAAATCAGCTGGAGAGGACAACATGCTGCATGCTTCTATCAAATCTGCTTCTTCATACATGAATTCAAAAGAAACAACCAAGCTCACAGTTAGCTTTCTTATTTCTGCTTTAGCAGGTATTTTGTGTAACAAATTATTTTAAATTTTGTGGTTCGGTTTAATTCTTATTATACAAAATGTGGTGAAATATCTACCTTTTGTTTAACTGTAAGGGCTGCTTCTGACTGCTGGTTGCACACTATTGAAGCCCAAGCAGTTTTCTTTCGTTGTAGGTAGAGATAAGTCAGGGATCTGACTGGCAGGTTATGAGCTTGCTGAGTCCAAAACAGTGCATTAATTTGGAATAAATGGAGGCTTACACCATCATGCTTTTGTCAGTCCAGAAGCAAGACATTTCTGATCTGAAAATAAGACATAATGGAATTTATTTTCCTTTCAGTATTCAGGACCAGGATAAGAAGCTCCAAGAGTTGTGGAGAATTTGTAACAGGTTACCTGAGCATTATCGTGTTAACTTCAGGTATGTGTGAACATCTGTCAGCTCAGCTGCGTTGATGCTTAGTCACTGCTTCTCAAAGCTGATTACCCAAAACTCAGATCCAGGGTGTTATTCTTGGCCAGATTTGGTGAGATTTCTAAAAATACATCTCTGTGTGCAGAGGTGATGGTAAATTTTTCAGTCAGGTTAATTCACTCTTGACTGTCAGGAAATAGTGATGCACAGAACCCTAATATTTAAGACTCATGCTGTGCTCTTCTTTGTATTTTCCAGTCTTAGAAATCACATCTTTCTTAGTAATCTCATTTTTCCCCTTGGTTTTGCCTTTTGGGAATGAATTGGAATAAAACCAACTCTAGTGATTCCCAGAAGCATGGAAGTTCCATTACAGAACGTGAAACTAGCTGAATCTAAATCTTTTTTCTCAGAAAATGTAATAGTTCTCTAGTTTCATTTTGCTAAGGTGGGAGCTGCCCAGTTCAGCTTCTATGATTGGTGAGTAGAAGCTCAGGGCCAGGTGCCAAGCAAGGAGGCTGCTCATCTCACTCCTGTCTTGTTGGGAGCTGCTGTTACAAGTTCTTGAATTTTTATTTACTTCCCTTCGACAAGAAATGCCCTTAGTTTCTACTGTTTAATGATTTCTTTCCTTTCTGTAGGTATTTAATCAAATTCTTAGCAAAGCTTGCACAGAACAGCGACGTCAACAAAATGACTCCCAGCAACATCGCCATAGTGTTGGGCCCCAACTTGTTATGGGCAAAGAATGAAGGGTGAGTTCTTGGGGAGAGCTGCACACCACAACTTCATCAAGCTGTTTTAAACCTTGTGGACTGCTCACAGCAACAGACTGCATACCTAAAAAATACTTCAGGTGTTCTTTCAGCCTGTGTCTCCAGGCCCTTTTAGGCACGAAGCACTTTAGGGGGGTTTTCAAAAGCTGTGAGTGTTACTGAATAGTGCAGAGTTCAGCACAGTTGCTCTGTATGGGGTACTGAGGAGTCAATCCATCAAGTGTCATTTAGGTAATATGAATTTTTAGTTTTCTCACTGTGATAGAGCTCTGCATAAAGTGTTCTCCAAACCTCTCCTGCAGATCCCTTGCTGAAATGGCAGCAGCAACTTCAGTCCATGTGGTAGCAGTTATTGAGCCAATTATTCAGCATGCAGACTGGTTCTTCCCTGGAGGTAAATTCCTGCCATAGTTAAAAGAATTCTATATTACTCTGCACTGGTAAACCCCCAATAGCTTTTGCAGTGAGGCACCATTTGGCATCTGTGTGTCTTAGGATGTATTCTGTCTGTCTTTCCTCTAGATGAAGATTTCAATGTGTCTGGGGCATTTGTGGCAGTTCCTGCTGTTAATTCCAATCACTTGTCACACACTGGGAATGACTATGAATGTGGGACTCTGGAAAGGAAGAGGCCTGTTAGCATGACTGTGATGGAAGGGGATTTGCTGAAGAAGGAAAGGTAGGTGTAACTCTCAGGTTAGGTGTCAATTAATAGCCCTCTCCTGAGGAGGCTTTAATCAGACACACTTTTATTGGTCTGAGGAGAGGAATTTAATGGAAATACTGTAGATAACAACAGTGATTTATTTCATGTTGTTGCAGCCTGAGGATGGTTCAAAGGTAATGTACTGTTACTTACTTTCAGTCACTCTCCATTCGTGGTAAAGCCCAAGCAGACATTGCTGCTCCCAGTTACCATTTTTCCTGTACAGATTTGGGGGGTCTAAAATTCACTGACACAGAAGTGTTTGTAGTAGCATCTCTCAGTCTCTAACTTCTGATATTCCATGGCTTCTCTTTCAAAGCCCATAATCTGAGGTGGTGTTACCTGGTGCCTTCATGATAAGACTTCTGAGTTGATGATGGTACAGTATTGCCCCAGCAAGCAGTAGAATGCTAAAAAATACCAGTAAAACGTGCTGTTTCCCATATAACATGTAGTGTAACGTTCATTATTATCACTCATCATGGATATTCAAGTGATGTGCTGTTTTGTTTTTAGCTGTTGATGCAAATGTTGTTACCTGTTAGCTATGGCCAGCCACATGCAAATTTGTCAGCACTCACAGAGGAAGGAGAAAATCAGTTCAAGATTCAGTCTTTAACAAAACAAGAATAAAAGTAAATTCTGGAACGAATGTGCTGTATGCATTCTAAAATCTGTTAGAGTTGGGGTCCATTTATTTGTAGTTGTCCTTGAAAAACGAACAGAATCGTAGAACGATTTGGGTTGGAAGGGACCATAAAGATCATTTCAATCCAACCCCCAAATCACAGCCTACATCCATCTGTACTGCAACTTAGTGGGTAACAGAAACAAAATTCATGTGGCAGAATACATTCAGTGAGGAACTACTCTGGTGTGCAAGGAAATGTCTGTATTTACATGTGAAATTCCGAGTGCTTTGACCTCATTGTCGTCAGTGTTTGTCTTCAAATGTAATGGAGTAGTTTGTTCACTTATGTTTAGCTTATCCCTCTGCGTGGATAAGCCAGATCCTGTTGCATGTCTTAACATTGCCGGTGTTCTGCAGCCAGTGGAAGCTTTAACGTTGTGGTGCTCTGCAGCCAGTGGGAGCTTTCCTCGTCGCTGCTTTGCATGCCGAGCAGCGGGGGTTTGTCTGGGGTGTAACATCCAGTGTCCTGTTGCTGCAGTGCCTGGTGTGGGCTGCGTGGTGTGTTCACTCTCTCTTCTCTCTGTAGCTTTGGTGTGAAGGTTCTGGACTTCCCAGCGAACCCTCGGAGATGTGGCACTGTAAACAGAAAGCACACATCCCCGGCCTTCCAGCCCCCGCTGCCGCCCTCGGAGCCGGCCGGGCCGGCCGAGCAGCACCCGCCGGCTGGGGGGGCTGACTGCAGCCCTGGGGGGGCTGGGCTTGCTCTCTCTGCTGCCTCAGCAGAATTCCAAACTCCAGGCACTGAGGATGGCAGGTAAGAGGCACAGCTTCCGCTGGCAGTGGCTTGGCAGGCGGCTCCAGCAGCAAACTGATGTGTCCCCTGTGCCTGCTCCACGAGGCACCTCTTCTACCTGGGATGGGCTTTGTCAGGTGTGGACCCCTCGGGCCTGGGCAGCAGCACCATGCAGGAGCTCTCCTGCCATGCTTTCCAGAATTGGTCTCTTAAAATAACATAGGTAGTCCTGCGTGTTCCCGAATTCATTTTCTAGGATAGTGGAATTCTTGGGGGGAAAAATTATAATGAAATATACTAAAAAGGACTCTATTTCTGCTTCCCACGTTGACCTTCCCTGGTTATACTCCAGAGGTGTGCACACAGGGTGATACCAGTTTGCTGCTGAAAGAGCAAAACCTACCAGTGGCAATACCAGAAACCCCTTGGTCTTGTTTGTTGTTTCTCGTACGTGTTATCTGGATATTGTCTCTTGTTTTGTTTATTTATTTGTCTGTAGCAAGTGTTAGGGATAACCAGACTTCTTTGCTAGAAAACTGCAAGTCGGTTTATCGTATTTCAGTATTAGTTTCTTTAGGACAAGTATTGTAGCCAGGTTTTGTGCGATTTAATTACTGTGGAAGCTCTGCAGTCGTGTCCCTGGGATGAATATGCCTGGGCTCCAAGGCTGATTGCAGTAACTCGAGCCTTGCTTCCAGGAGAGGTGAAAGCAGCACTTTGCTTTCAGTGCTTCTGTGGTCTGCGAGGGGCAACAAGCCACGTGTAAAGCCTGTGGTGCTTCCAAATATCAGCCTCAGCATCTTGAGGTGAAGCCCCACTGTGGAGCTCGATGCAACACTCACTTTTGCATACAGCTTGTTCTCAGGTGACAAACTTACAAAAGCAGCTCGTGGAAATCCCCTGCAGACCAGTACTTCCTCCACAGAGCTTTTGTGGCAGAGGCAGCTAAAACAAAACCTTGAGGGTAGTGCCTGAAAGTTGCCCTTAAAATCTGCACAGACTCTGTTCAGGTACTTGCACTTTATTCAAACAGCATCTGGAGAAATGAGGATTGAAAGGTGCCAGTAGATGTGATTGAAAGTTACTCCTTTTGAGGACTAAATTACTGCAGGTGACTATAAATATAAAGAAATAAGTGAAGATCAGCAAGTCCAGCCATCAACCAGCACCCACCACCATGTGCACCACTAAACTATGTCCTCAAGCCACATCCACACATTTTTGAACACTTCCAGGGATGGGGACTCCACCACTGCCCTGGGCAGCCCCTTCTGATGCTTTGCAACCCTTTCTATGAAAACTGGTTCCTAATATTTACCTACAGCACAGCCTGTACTGTCAGCGGAACAAGTGCAGCTGAGCTGGGCAAGGCACGTTATAATCATCTTCTAATGTGGGATTTTTAATTTTCAGTGCCTCAAAATCTAAGGACAGCACGTCCTCAGCCACTCCTCCCCCGGTGAGGAACGGTGGGCAGGCAGGGAGCAGCACCAACCAGCTCAGTGTTAACCAGCCCCAGAACGCAGCAGGGCCCAGTCCCCATGCCCTGAGGAGAGGTGAGTTTTACTGCTTTTTCAAGCCACTGCCTACCAGCTCTTGATGTATTGCAGAAGTGCTACTAAAGTAACTTTACTGGTGTCTCTTCCCTTGTTACAGACAGCGGGTTGTCTGGCGTGTCATAAGGCCTGGCCATAAAGCATCTGTGACTTTGGGACTCTTTGAACGCTGATAGGGGTGTCACCAGTGCTGTTTAACAAGCTCTCAAAGGCTGTAGTTTCCTATTGCTCTTGCTAATACACACTGTTATGATTACATACCTTCTGTGCTGCTGAGTTCTGTCTTTGGGAGCTTGGTCTAGAATTACAGAATCCCAGAATGGTTTGGGTTGGGAGGGACCTTAAAGCTCATCCTGTTCCACCCCCTGCTGTGGGCAGGGGCACCTTCCACCAGCCCAGGTTGCTCCAAGCCCCGTCCAGCCTGGCCTTGGACACTTCCAGGGAACAGCCACAGCTTATCTGGGCAGCCTGTGCCAGGGTCTCACCTCCCTCACAGGGAGGAATTTCTTCCCAATCTCCCATCCAACCCTGCCCTCTGGCAGTGGGAAGCCCATTCCCTGTGTCCTGTCACCACCTGCCCCTGTAAGAAGTTGCACAGTCCGTGATGTTGAAGTGTTCCCTCTTCTCTCCACAGCTGTGAAAAAGCCGGCACCAGCCCCCCCCAAACCAGCCAACCCCCCGCCGGGACAGCCAGGAAGCCAAAGCTCTTCCCCTGCTGCTCAGCCACCTTCTGTCTCTCCAAAACCACCTGCCAGAAGCTCTTCTCCTCCTGCTCAGCATGCAAACCAAGGAGCAGCCCAGACCTCCACTTCCCAGGTTTCTGCACCTCGGAGATACTCCAGCAGCCTCTCCCCAATCCAAGCTCCCAGCCACCCGCCCCCTCAGCCCCCAACACAGGCAACTCCTCCACTGCAGCCCAAAGCAAACAGCCAAGCATCTCCCGGCGCTGGCAGCGAGCACGGACCAGAGCAGCCCTGTTCCACCCTCGCGCAGACCCCCACACCACCCGACACCCCCCCGCTGGGCAAGCACCCCAGCAGCGCCCCAGCGCCCCAGCCAGCGACTCCAGAGCCCTGCCAGGCTCCCTCCTTACCTCAGAGTGGCACCCTGCCCCGGCCTCGGCCTGTGCCCAAACCCAGGAACAGACCCAGCGTGCCCCCTCCGCCTCACCCTCCCTCTCAGCTGCCTGCAGATGGGATTGTTGCAAATCCCACACAAACAGCTTCTAAAATAGTCACAGGTGAGTGGATCCTTCCCTGTCTGGTGTCTCCTCAGGGAGTTGAAATAAAGAAAGTAGTGCCTGTAGCTGGAAACGAATGGGGGGGGGGGGGTGACTGAAAAGCACAAATAACAAAATACTAAATAGCTCATTTCAGGTAAATGCCCAGCCAGCTGCTCTGCACACAAGGGTTTGGGGCAGTTCCTCAGTGAGGGTTTCATTTCTGAGGCAGAAAGGTTTGGAGGCAAGTGGAAATGAGCTTGTTGTATGTTTTTTCCTGAACACTGATAGCAGCTCGCTGGGGCTGTCTCCAGCCTCGGATCTTGGCAGGCAATGCTGCTTGTACATCTGTTGCCAAAAAGCAAATATTTGGAGGAGGGAGAAGATGTAGCCAAGGATAGTGGATTTCAGCACATACTAAGATAAGAAAAGGGCAAAAGTGGTCACTGACACGTGTTTTAATAGGCAAAACACACAGAGAATGTTTTAAAAACCTTACGAGAACAGAGCCTTCTGATGCTCTTTTAAGTTGAACATCCAGAAGCTGAAGATTCACTTACACTCAACTGCATTTCTTAGGTCTGTATTTATAGAGCTTCATATTGTAAATGCAGTCTTTTTGTTTTGAGGCAGTTGTGAAGTAAAGAGGAACATTGTCTTCCCACAAAAATGTCATGAAGCTTCTAGTTATGAGTTTGACAGGGATAATGGTAATTTAAGTTAATAAAGTTAATTAATTGAGTTTATTTTTTTAAATGTAATGCTGAGGCCATTCAAACCCAGCTGATTTTGAAATGTTCTCCTGCTTAGTTGCTGCTTATTCTGGGAAATTCTGAAGGAGGGGATAATGAACGTAGAGACTAATGCTTTTAAATCAACTTATAATTAATAGTGGTTAAAACTTTCCCATGACACTGCAGCTTCTCTAGAACTAGACTAATGTGTTGGAATGCAAAGTATCAATTCTGTTGCCTAACAGCTTTACCCCAATGCCTTCACAGGTGGGGATGGTTACTGCGAATAAGGTTTGTACTCACAGAAATGTGCAACATCAGCTGAACTGCTCCTGTTTGTAGCTTGAGTTTGGACATGCGCTTTGGAAATGTGCTCTGTCAACGCTGTGTATCTCATCCCCACGTAGCATTCTGTCTGTGAGAGGGTTTAAGGCCTCTGCCACTTCATTTTAATGGCCCTGTGAGCATTGTTAGTCCACAAGTACCTGTAAAGAAGTAACACCTCAGGCCAGGTCCCCAGGACTAGTCCCTGAGTCAGGGGTGATGAGTGACCCATTCCCGACAGGTTTGTTCTCCTCAGTGCAGGCAGGTACTGCAGCTCGTGTTCTTCCTGCAGTTTGGTGGATTATGGTTATGTTTTGATGTAGGTCTCACTTTAGGTTTGCAGTTACTTCTTTCAACCACGCTGGCATTTGCACTGGGCAGCCCCAGCCTCACTAACAGCACCTGTGCTCAGCCCCAGACACACCCTCACTGTGCCAGGTGGGAGGCGTTAGGGATGTGCTGCTGCCCTGCTGAGGTACCAACTGCTTGGCAGGCTGGAAAGGTGGGGCTGTGTTCCCAAACCATCCCGAGATCTGACTCTTTTACAGCAAGGACACTGGAATCAGGGCTGCACTGAGATGTCAAATTGGAAATACTTTGGGTTTGGGTTTTTTTTTTTAATTGGAGAAACAGGTTGCTCAGAGAAGCCGTGGCTGCCCCATCCCTGGAAGTGTCCAAGGCCAGGTTGGACAGGGGTTGGAGCCACCTGGGATTGTGGAGAGTGTCCCTGCCCATGGCAGGGGGTGGCACTGGATGGTGTTTAAGGTCTTTTCCAGCTCAAACCAGTGTATGATGAAATTAGCAGTAAACAAGCTGCTTTTATGTAACTAAAAAGTAGCTTTGCTTTTTAAGTAACTGACTTCTCCTGATTGTACATCTGATGTTTTTGTCAGTATATTTAAGTACATTACAAATCCCAAGCTCAATTCAGAAGTAAGGCTGGGCTCTGGATCTTGACAACACTTTTACACACTATTAAATAAAGGACAGCAGCTGTGCTGATGAGTCAGACTTCAAGGAAACACTTAACCTTTTTGTTTAAGTGTTTCATAGTTTGACTGTGTTGGTTTTATTTTGGAGTTTTCCTGGTTCTGAGGAAATGGCTTTAATGATGACAGACAGGGAGGGTTTGTTTTACCCCAGTGTAACTGGAGGAATCCTTAACTTCTAAATCCCAGCCAGCTGATGTGCAGGGGCTGCTTCATTAGTGGGGAGTTGGAGTTGGGCAAGGCAGTCACCTGCCTGAGAGGAGTGATGGGCACAGCTTAATATCACTCCTTACAAGTGCAAACCATAGCAGATTGGCCAAGTTGTGTACTGTAAACACCAAAAAAAAAAAAAGTTTCCAGGAAAGGAAAGCTGCTGAGGAAGGATTCTCTCCAAAACTGGCAAAGGGACCTAGAAAATAGTGTCAGTTTTGCTAAAAACCCCTTGGGGAAGAGTTGGAGTGATACTCGGGCTCACCTCCAGCAGGACACTCCATGCAGGAGCATCCACCTTTTCCAGATCATTCCTTTTTTAAAGGATTAATATTCTGAATTAACACCACTGCCTGTCACATAAGAGTTTCTGCTCTAATATTTACACCTGCATATATAAGCACTTATAGACTCACCTAATTCACAATGTGCAGCCACTGTTTTTAATTTTAACCTGAAAGAGCGAGGAAACAACAGAAACCAAAATTAAGTTGCCAGCAGACTTCATAATAATGCCAGAACAGGAATTCTAAATTGTTCTCAGTATACTGTTGATTCCTTTGTCCACGTCCTGGGCATTAGCAACGCCTCAAATTCTATTTATGGTGTTGAGGGAATAAGCCCTAGAATATTCTAATCAAGAATTTTATTAAATAATCTAGATGTTTGACCAGCATTGAGTAGGAACTGTACTGGCAAGTTCAATGGTAAGGAAAAGGCACCTGATTGGCCAGCCCTGTTGCTGATTGATAATCATGTGTGTGCTAACCCCACTACTAACCCGTGTCACCAGTAACCTGCTTGCTCGTGCCCTCGGTGGGCATGGCCCGAGCGTGGCTGCTGCTCTGACTAAACCTACTAAAAGTGCTGGAGAGCAGACTGTGCCCAGCTCTTGGTGTCTCACTGGCCCCCCTCACCCTGTGCTTCCTCACGTGTACAAACCTAGGAAAGGCTGTGTTTGGTGCAGGGGCTCATTCTGAGCCAGCTGTCCCTGAACCCTCGGGTGTCCCAAATGCTCCTTCCCTGTGCCACAGAACCAACAGAACTGTTGGGGTTGGAGGAGAAGCTGTGGCTGCCCCGTCCCTAGGAGTGTCCAAGGCCAGGTTGGATGGGACTGGGAGTACCCTGGTCTAGTGGAAGGTGCCCCTGCCCACGGCAGGGGGTGGGTCTGGAAGGTCTTGAAGGTCCTTCCAACCCAAACTCTTCTGGGATTCTCTGGCATAACTGCCTGTCAGGCCACAACATGATGGAATTCCAGCTGCTGGATTACAATATCCTGGAATACAGATCCCTGCAGGTGGTGTGAGGCTGGGATGGGCTGAGAGGAATAGGGGAGGCCGTGCTCCCATGCTTGAAAATAAGGTCTTTATGTGGATTCTTTATTGATTTAAGTGATCTAAATTACTTTCTGTTTGGAACAGCTGCTGGGTTGCAGTAAGGGATGTCGTGGCATATTATAAATCAGCTTTCCAAAACACTGACAGTATTTTCAGTTATCTTTTTTAATCTCTTGGGGATTTTTCTGGTCTTACAATTCTAGCTCCTGGGGTAGACAGTCACCAGAAATGCAGCATTTTGGGGTCCTTCTTTGACACCTTGGCATGAACAAAATTCTCCTCACCTTAGGAGTGCCAAAGACCATGTTACATACAGGGGAGGGGTACAGGACTGAGCCAGGGTCAGTAGAAGAAGCAACTCCAAGCTGTTTACCGTGGCTCACCTTTAGTGCCCACCTGCACACGGGTGCCAGCCCTGTTTGAAGAGCCCTTGTTGATCTTTCCCTTCTCTGTCTGAGGGAATGCCCAGGAACACCCGAGTGAATGAGCCGGCCCTGTCCCGGCTGCTGAACTTGCTGTTCCCTTTTTTGTGCAGACTCCAATTCCAGTATTCCAGAACCACTTCCAAACCCTCCTTCAGAGCTTCCTGCGGAGCCGGCGAGCAGGGACCTGCACAACCACCTCCTGCTGGACATCGACAACGACACGGAGAGCACCGCGCTGTGACGGGAGCGCCGCGGCTCCCCGGCCTTCCTCTCCTGGGGGAAAACCCTCAGACCGAGCAGGGAAGAGCTTCTTCTGACAGCGTGGCAGAACTGTGCCTGGTGCAGGACTGGTGCACCGTGGAGATGTGATTTACAGACTCATTTAGGTGGAAAAGACCAACCTTTGGCCAATCTCTGACTCAGCCGCTCAGAAGAAGTTTGATGATCTGTGTCTCGACAAGGGTTTTCAAACTCTTGGATGCAAGGAATGAACTCCTACAGGAACTCTCCTAGGAAGCGTAATCAGTGCTGATACAGGTGGTATTAGCAGAAATTCCAAAAGAATAAGCAAGCAGAACATTAGTTATTTAAAGTGCATGTATGTATTATGGAAATAATCCTTTTAATGTCACGGTTAGATTTTATTTGTAGTTCTTAGCCTGTACCAGGAGCTGCCTCGCAAGGGACGTTCCCTCTGGGATTTGCTGCACATTCTTCTTAAAACATGAACCAACCCCTGCCCGAGTGCTGGTGGTGACTGCTGGTTATCAGTCACCCTGTCAAACTGTGGATGTATCCAGTGCCTTGAAGGACTGTCGTGCTGTAGGAGGAACCTTCTGTCTCTTTAATAATTTCATTGCTACTTAGGATCAGTAGTTATCCTGATTTCATAGTTATTTGTATTAACCTGGTTTTATTCATGTGCAACTGGCAACTGTTCCACAAGGAAACTGTGGAAGTGGGGTTTGTGCTTTTGTTGCAAACGGTTGAACTTTGGAAGAACTTTGAAGCAGCTGTTTGGATTCAGCAGTTGGGTGAACATGTATAAAATTAAAGATTGTCTTTTGTCAACTTTAGGCTTCTTTTTCCCAGTTTTGTTGCTTCCAGTGGGCCCTGAAGGTCACAGTGATCCCCTGGGCTTTGTTGCTCAGAGTCACTGGCTGCTCAGCTTGGTTTTCCTTGAGGCCTGCAGTGGAAGCACTCTGGGAATGCATTTACCTTTATTCCTTGATGTGCAGGTTGATGTCAAACACACTGCAAGCAGCTGCTTGTTAAAGCAGGCCCAGAGGAGCCCCCCTCCCACAGACTGCAGGCAGGCAGGCAGGGAGCAGCTCTCACTCTTTATTAAGTTTATCTGCAGCTCCACAAGGCCCCAGGGGGGAGCAGGGGACTCGTCCCCCTCCTGCCCAGGCTGCCCCTGACAGAGGGGCCGGGACAGGCGCTCGGTGCTCCTGGCCGAGGGTTCTCCCTTGAATTGCTCCCAGAACAGCAATGAGGGGCTGCTGCTGCTGCTGGGCACCCCTGCCCTGGCAGCACCTGCTGGCTCTGGGCTGCTCCAGGTCCCTCAGGTGCCCTGCAGGCAGCGTTGGGGTGCGGGTGTTGGTGTCGCCGTCAGGCACAAGCAGTGGTAACACAGCAAGAGCTCCCAGGCTGGGCCCCTCAGTGCGTGCTGGGAGGAGGCTGAACGGGCACAGCTGAGCCAGGGACATACAACAGAGGAGGGACAAGGCCCTCGGCCTCTCCTCTGGGCACTCGGAGCCGTCACTCGCCCCTCAAGGCTGGAGAGGCTGAACCAAAGGGGACCCAGGTGGTTGTAGCTGGTTATAGAGGCATAAATAGGAAAAGAATCCAGGCTTCCTGAATTCCAGCCAGTGCTCTAAGGCCAAAGAGCAAATTTAAATATTTAAAATAACCAAACCTTCCTCAGCTGTTTGGGGCCAATTGGGGTCTGCCAGTGCTGGTGCCAAGCACTCAGCCCTGGTCAAAGCCAGGCCCCCATTAGAAATAAGGAAGGGATTAGGAAGAAGGATCTGTCTTCTTAAATAAAGAAATAAAATTTAGAAAGCATTAGGAATTACATTAACCCTCTGCTAGTTATTAATATTTACACCAATAAAAATTAGTTGATGTCATCTGGACTTGCATCACCCTGGCTATGCGAAGTATGCCCAGAGGAAGACCCCAGCACACAGGCAGATGAGCAGGTTGACGTTGAGGATGTGTTTCACCAGCGGTTTCTCCTCCAGGGAAGCCACGGGCAGGGGCTCAGGTTTGGGTGGTGCTGTGCTCTCGGTGCTCTCCTGCCTGCGCTCCATCCCACAGAGCCACAGGAAGGTTCTCATCAGCTTCGAGCTGCCTTTGGCCTCAGTCGCACCTAAAAAGAGAGTCAGGAGTGAGGGATGAACCTCATCAACAGCACATCCCAGGAATGGCCCGTGTGCTCCTGTTCAAAGGGGGTTGATGCAGAAATGCACCAGTGGTGTCCAAGTGAACACTCTCCCTACCCTGAGCTGCAGGGACTCCTTCAGGCATCATCTCTTGGGGCTGTGGTACCTGTTCCATCCTCCCTGGAGCTCTGAGCTCAGGTTCTGCTGTTCCCAACGGTTTAAACCAAACCTAAAAACTGAGCTCTGGCTGCTTGGTGCCCTGCAGCCCCCCAGGCAAGGCCCTGCTCTAGTGCAGGGGGGGTTCTCCATACCACACACATGTAAACTGAATTTTCCCAGCTCTGGTGTGCGTTGGGACACAGGACTAAGTGCTGGGAAGGCAACGCTTGTGCACAGCGAACTCAGACTTCCCAGCAGTGGGAGAGCTGTGCCCTAACTCATTAACTTACAACAACTTTTTATGGATCAAAGGAACTCTCTGCCAAAGCTGCAATGTTACATAAACAGGGGTCCAAGCCTGGCAAAAACAGGAGATGCAGATCATCACTGGAGAATGCAGTGAGTGGCTGCACAAGGTTGTACCTAATACCGACAAGTACAAGTTTTAAAAAATGCAAATCCTCCTTCACTGATCTGTCAAGAGCTCGGCCCAGGGCTCTGGGTTCTCCCTGCTGCTAGAGCCGATCAGAAAACACCGCTGAAAAACAGAAATGGAATTTCATCAACAGAACTGTGGTGCTGCTCCACCCTCCCCTGTTCCAACCAGCTCTCCTGGCAGCAGGTGCCACGGCACCGGGCACTGAGGTGGGATAACGGGCATGGCTCTGTATCCCATCCAGCTCCTTGGCTTCCAGCTTAAGTAATGCCATCAGAAGATGGAAAAGAAACTAAACTCCTGCTTAGGTAAAACATCAGGTAAAGCCTTTCTCCACCTGGAGGAGACTGAGGTCAGACCTCACCGGGGTCTGCAGCTTCCTCCCGAGGGGCAGCTCTGATCTCTGCTCCCTGTGAGCAGGGACAGGACCCAGGGAGCAGCTGGAGCTGTGTCAGGGGTGGTTTAGGTTGGATCTCAGGAGAAGATTCTTCCCCCAGAGGGTGGTTGGCACTGAACAGGCTCCCCAGGGCAGTGGGCACAGCCCCAAGGCTGCCAGAGCTGCAGGAGGGTTTGGACAACGCTCTGAGGGACAGGGGGGGATTGTTGGGGTGTCTGTGCAGGGCCAGGAGTTGGACTGGATGATGCTGATGGGTCCCTTCCAACTCAGGATATTCTGTCATTTCTAATCCTGTGACACTTTCAGCACGCCCTGAAGCTACGGAATTCCAGAGGAAGGAGTTTTTCTTGTCTTCAAAGCCTCTGGGGACGCCAGGGGTTGTTGGGTGTGGGGTTACTGAGCCCGCTGGAGCACTTACATTTCTTCTCCTCTGCACTAGTGTCAGAGGCAATGTTTAGCTCAAGCTGGAGAGCGGGGCGCTCGGCGTCGCTCGCTCCTCTGGCAGCGGCGGGGCCGGGGCTGACTGCCAGGTCTTGCTTGAGCGGAGGGTCCCCACGCGTGAACCAGGTGAGCCGACTTATCTGATGGCATGAAGAGTGGTGTTAAAGGAACTGCTGTCACGGTGCTCAGAGGAGCCCCGGGGCCGCCTGCAGGGAGAACACGTGGAGGGGCCGGGATCTGCCCCCCTGCCCTGAGGAGCAGCTGAACAGCCGAGCTCGGCTGGAACTGCTGGGGTGACGGGGCAGCTCCACCTCAGCCCGATGAGTCCTCGCTCTGCACTGAGGGGACATTTCTCTGCGGGCCCATCCCTGGGTGCAGACTGAGAGTGAGCCAAGAAGGAGCAAAAAGAATGGAAATTGTGGCCGGGGAGGGGCGGCTCAAAGAACTGGGGTTGTTGAGAGGAGACGACAGGGAGGAGGTGGGATTGTTTTCTTCAAATATCTGAAAGACTCATTAAAGGGGGATGTTCTCAGCAATAGTGTCGATAGAGAGGGATGAGCACAACATGAAGCTGGAAAGGTTCGCGTTGGAGATGAGGAAAAATTGCTACAGGGAGGGCAGGTGAGCTCTGCACTGATCACACACCTCTGGGGCACCTCCCTCTCGGGGGATTCCTGAGTTCACCAGGACTTTTGGGTTAGTGCTGTCTTGAAGCAAGAGGATGTGCTGCTGTATGATCCCTGAAGCTCCCCTGCCCCTCCTCTCTGCTCTCAATGTTTCTTTGTAGCCTCAGTACCTCTACTGAAAATAGTCAAACTGGCACAAACCTGGTTCAGAGGAGCTGTGCTCTGGGCCCTGGGTTTCTCTTTTCTGCAAGTAAAAATGGTTCCTCACTAAGTGAGTAAGAGAGTTGGTAAAGGTGACCCAGAAGCTGGAATTGCTTGGAAAATAGAGGGGAAAAAGGCTAATTTGTCACGGATTTAACACACACGCTTGAACAGCAGCTCTTGATAGCATCTGCTGCTGACCAGTTTTTCCAGGGTGGGATTTATGGGACCCAAATCAGAAACGGCAGCAGAGGGGCTGGAGCAGAGGAGGGGTTGCTGCTACAAGTGTGGTCATAAGCAAAGGATGAATGGCAGCTTCCATCTCCAGATCATTTCTCCCCACGTTATTCCCCCGGACGGAGCGTGGGGCATCCTGGAGAGCACGTGAGCAAAGAAAGCGGGAGGGGGGACGCACCATTTCGGGGCCGGGGGGCTCGGTGGCCACGCTGACGAGCAGCACGGTGAGCGTGGAGACGGCTGCCAGCACCATGGAGAAGTACAGGTAGTGCATGTACCTCACCACGCCGGGCCGGGCGTCGGCCTCGCCGCACCGGGGCTCGGGGTACACGAAGTCCAGCACCAGCCGAACCGCGCCCAGCAGCAGCCCCACCACCAGCCCCCAGAACGCGCCCTGCAAAGGAAGGGAATGCCGTGCTGGAGCAGGGAGCGGCATCCAGCCAGGCCCCAGGGCTGGCCAGGCTCCAGTGGAG